GGGGGGTTATAACCTCACAGGTGAGCAGACTGCGGGGGGTTATAACCTCACAGGTGAGCAGACTTCAGGGAGCTATCACCTCACAGGTGAGCAGACTGCAGGGGGGGGGACAATAACCTCACAGGTGAGCAGACTGCAGGGGGGGATTATCACCTCACAGGTGAGCAGACTGCAGGGGGGGATTATCACCTCACAGGTGAGCAGACTGCAGGGGGGGTGGGGTGCTATCACCTCACAGGTGAGCAGACTGCAGGGGGGCTATCACCTCACAGGTGAGCAGACTGCAAGGGCTATAACCTCACAGGTGAGCAGACTGCAGGGGGGAGGTTATAACCTCACAGGTGAGCAGACTGCAGGGGCTATAACCTCACAGGTGAGCAGACTGCAGGGGGGGCTATCACCTCACAGGTGAGCAGACTGCAGGGGGCTATAACCTCCTGTCCACATGTGTATGCAGCTTGTCTGCTCCTTAAGCCCTAGCTAGCACAGAGCAGACACTTATTACAAGTGCTGACCCCAAACTGACAAGTAGAACCAGGGTTCACTCCTATTGGTGTGAGCTCTGCAAGTGTCACCCAGGGTAGCCCTGCCCCCTCCCAGCCTCTGTTCTGCTCTTCGGGGTTCTGGATCTGTGTGTGCTGCTGAGGGGACTGCTTAGTGAGCACAGATTTTAATGTGCTGTAAGACTTTTATGTTCACTGTGGATTTTGCTAAGAGCTCGCAGTGTTGAGCAGGGCGTCTGGGAGTCAGAAAGCCTTGCGAATTTGAAACAGTTGTTTTTAGACATGTGTTGGGAAGCCCACACTGAGTCAGAGGTGATTTATTCTCCCCCAGGGAAGGCATTGACCAGTCCTACCAGCTCCTCAGAGACTCCTTGGACCTGTACCTGGCGATGTACCCGGACCAGGTGCAGCTCCTGCTCCTCCAGGCCAGACTCTACTTCCATCTGGGTATCTGGCCAGAGAAGGTAATTATCTTACTTTGCTGCTCGGCCTTGCCTTAGAGAGGAAAGCTGTAGCTGGACCAAGGCTGTTGAAGGAGTAAGTTCAGATCTGCTCCGTCCCCCAGTCCTGACCCCCTAAAGAAATGTTTTTCTCTCTTCTAAGAAGCATTGGTTCTGTCACCAGGAATGACCTCTGAGCTCTGGACACAAAACCCCTGTCCTGCCTCTTGCCCACTGCCACCCCATGGTGCCTTCCCAAAGTCACCTGACTGCAAGGAGAGGCAAGACAAGTGCTCTGTGCGGGCTTTGCTGCAGCTGTAGGACATGAGAAGATCCAGCTGAGACCGGCTGAGGCTTCTTACTGTTCAATTCTGGGGGTGCCCATGCTGTAATCCCCGCATCTGGCAGTGAGTGCTATGAGGAGTCACCTGTGGAGCACAGAGCTGACTTTGGCCCACTGTGTGCAGTTTGTGTGAGTGAGTGTGCAGGAGTCATAGCCCACTCCCATCCCTCCCTTGGGCTGGGGAGAGGCCCCAGTCCATGCTGTCTGTCTAGAAGGCCTGCAGAGAGTGTGGTTCTGAGCCTCTGTGGGTGTTTCCCGAGATGGGCGGTCTCCACAGAAAGCCACTGCTCTGGGGGCTGGAGAGATGGCTTGGCTGTTAGG